CACACACACACACACACACACAAAGACCACATCTACATGCTTGCTCAAGATGTTACAGGCACAATCATTAGATTGGAACTAACATTCAGGTTCTTTAACTGAAAGCATTTTTGAATGGTGACTGACTGACTGTGAATATCATCTTTTATCGACTTCTAATGGACTGATTCAAAAACTACAAATATACCATGCTTTCATGATTCATTTCTCTTGTGTTTTATCCTTTACTCGTTATTCTCCTTTGATATAACAGGTGGATCATCTTGTATGGTTGTCTTACTCTCTCATTATTGCCTAGATCTGCCTTATGTTTGCCAGCTAGAGATTTACTGTATGCCCTTGACACATTTTGGACCTTCTTTGCCCATTTAGACTTTCATAAATAAATTTATAGCAAAATAAGTTTTAAGATGTAATATTGCTCTGTTTTAACCTGACTTATTTGGTGAAGATAAATAGTAAATACTATGGAAGAAACTCAAAATGGTGGATTTGTTGGGTGCTTTTATTTATTAAACTAGATGTATGCTTCTTCTAGAGATAATCATAGAAGTTCGTTTCACTTTGTGAAAACTATTCACTTGTGAGAACTCTTGGTAGATTGGCTGGAGATGCCAGGTTCCTTGATTCTACTGCTGGTTGTGGCTCCCAACTTCTTTGCAGAGACCCTGAGGGGCAGCTGGGTTGGTGTTTTAGTATGTCTCATCATTGGTTGTTACCTGTTGCAAGAGCATATTCGAGCCTCGGGAGGATTCAGGAACTCATTCACACAAAGCCATGGAATATCCAACACCATTGGCATCATCCTTCTACTAGTCTTTCCTATCTGGGCTTTGGTACTTCACTTTCTCTAAGCTAGTATGCTTCCATCTTTAATGTAAGATTTCAACTTCCATGGTCAGTGTGATACCTGGTTCATTTTTTGTAAGCAATTAAAATTTAGTTTCATGGAGATATTTTGGCAAAGATGAGGTGAGTTATTTAATCGTTCTCACCATTTATTTGTCAGTATTTGCACTGTTCTTTTTTCGCTAACATTTCACGCACAAGGTTGACCCATACAAAATGAAGGGCAGTATTTGATAAAAACTAAAACCAAAACTAAATAACATAACTATGTTAAGCAGAGCCCAAATTAATGGGATTATCAAAGAAGTGTGACCGTTTGGTAAAAGTCAAAATAATGAGATTAATGAATCAAAGCGCATAAAGGTTGCTAACAAATTAAGTGGATAACTGATGATCTTTTTCTCACGAAAGTAAGAAATCAAGAGATTGAGTTGCATGACATATTGATAGGATAAATTATAAAATAAGAGAGGGTTTTCTCTTATTGTGTCACTCAAGATGTAGCTTAAGAAAAAAACAAAAAAAGAAGAAGAAGAAGTAAATATTAACTCAAAGTGGTGAGTCAGTGACATAAAAGCTATTGCCTAAGCAT